TTTGATTACTATTACTATTACCTCAAATTTACAGTTACATTATACTCAACCGGACAGTAAATGGACTGACAATAGTTTATCTTTTTTCTTTTTCTTCATTTGTTACAATGGATGCCAGGCAAGAAGGAATATGATCTTCACTTGCTGCCACGTTTACTCTTTATGATTTTTTCCACTCATTCTCGAACCATTGAACCACAAGGTCTGATATTACTGTGAAATACGTTTAAGTTGGAGAAAGTGGTTAAAACTACGGCATCTGCTTTTGAACGAGTCTTATGTCCCCTTACACTGATCCTAATTTTTTTCTTTAACAGGAACGTAGCCCTAAGCGTTTCTCTGAAGATCGGCATTCTAAAGCAATAAATTATTGGGTTGATAAAAGAATTTGCCAGCTGAAGACATCGATAAATTGGGGAAACCGCGCTGATGTTTCGTTCAGTAAGAATTACGCTGAACACAACGACAAAAGGCAACCAAGTTATCAGAGAAAGTACAGTCACAACAAATAAGGTTTTAGCCAAATTTTTGTTGCGTCTGAAGTTATATTCTGAAAGTTTTGGATCTTTCTTTTTGGAAAAGAACCAAGTAACAGAATATGCAACGGTAATTGTTAACAGGCAAGCACCGATGTAAAGCGATCCAATCCATGAATAATCCTCATCTGACTGTCTGCTTTTACGAATCAACAACGAAAAGGCAGGTGCTATTCCGGATATAAGCCATGCTGCTACGACAGCGTAAATGTATGTTCTTTTCGATGTGCTTCTGCTTCGTAAAGGCCATACTATTGCATAAACCCGCTCCAAAGAGACGAGAACAAGGAAATTAATAGAAGCGCAGGAAGAAAACTCTGCGAGAACAAAATATGTCTTGAACCAAGAAAGCGAACAAATAAAACTGATAAACTCTTCAATAGTACCAACACCAACCAGTATATCAGCGATAGACAGGTTTATCAAGACAACAGATGTTTTCCGCAACTGAAATCTCCTTTTCCAGAACACGATAATGGTGATAATATTGGCAAAAAGTATTACCAAGGCTTCCACACTGAATATGATTATCCAGAATAGTGTCTTTTTAAAAATGCCTTCACAATTTTCCTTCATTTGAACCTTTTTTCAGCATTAAAAGCCAGATGAAATTTTAACTGTAGTCTCTTAACAGCCAAGCTTGACTTGACCTTTCCTTGGCTGAGTGTCTCATTTATATCAACTGTTCCCTGACCAAATTTAACTTTACGCCTCACACGCAGCCAAAGTGCACATTCATTTAAGTTCAACACATTTAGTCTTTGTTCAAGTTTTTTTTACATTCCGGAGGATGCATATGAAACTGTCAGAAAAATTTTGAAGTTTGTTTGACAGCCACATCCAATTTTTAGTCAAATCATGTGGCACGTAGTATTTCATGCAACCCTAAAACTAGGGATTCGTTTACAGCTATTTTTTTACTGCGGTTGGCGACTTGTGGCCAACGTTCATTCAATGATAATTCATTCCTAGATGCTCTTTTAGTCTTATTACCTATTTAAGGTCGCTTTGGCAGAATTTTGAATTAATCAATAAACTGTGAATTACCCAGACTAAAGCGTAACAATGGTCTTCTGTTTTCTTTGTTCATTAAAAAAAATCCAATTATAGCATCAAGAGTTCCGCACTACCTCAACCGATGCAACTGAGCACTTGTTATTCCTCTTAAGTGTTCCATTCTTGTTCATTAAGGAGTTCTTGAATAAAAGTCATTTCCCGTTTTGCTTTGGTTTAATTACTTTTCTGAGGTCGCTTTGACGGATTGTAAATTAATAATCATCGATCGAGCGAAAGCAACCACACGTTTATGGAATGCAGCCAACGGCTAGAAATGAAGTTATTTGCTCCACTGGAAATAAACTCTGACACGAGTGTAAAGTTCTCTTTGCTCAAGACAACCAAGAGTTCATCGTGGGAAAATTGAAAACTGTTCTAGTCTAAAGTACTCGTCGACATCGGATTTTTCCAGTAATTTCCTATTAATTTCCCCGTGAAGTGCATACTTTTTTATTATTCATTTTATTTGGTTTTCTCGTTTGATTTATATATATTTATATTGCAAAACGGAAAAGGAAAAAGAAAGAGTCAACTCTTTACAAAGATGAATTGCTTGACTTCAGTTGTGTTCCTGTCATTTTAAGATTCCGCGCAAAAATGAAAAACTCCTCCACTTGAATTTTTCTCTAGGCATCGTTTACGGCTCTACGTTTTCAAGCGGACTAATGGAGCAAAAATCTTGCCAGGGTGTTATTAATGACCTCTATGGTAAAGTATTTTATCAGTGGGAATCGCTAAGCCGCGATGAAGAAGACAAACTGATTACCTAAAAAGAGTCTTTCACAAAAAATGAACTTGATTTTACCTTTATCAAAAAGTACAGGAAATATTGATTTGCGCTGATGTTTTCCTTTTTAGTTTGAATTTATTCATACATATGAGTATTTATTATTAAATAATTCCAAATCGAAATCTCCTGCTGCCTGGTTTATAGTTACCTTTTCATCATTGCAAACTCTCACGTATTGGATCACGAATGCACCTTTTAAGCTTGCTTTCTAATTATAAAGTAAACATGAAATGCTAAGAAATGGGGATTTGAAGCCCATTTGGACTGGGTTGTGCACAAAATCTACTAAGTCATAAATTAAAAGCTGGCGGGAGGCGTGGGAAGAAAACTCATTATTCCGTTGCCAGAAATTAGTTTAATGTTTAGTTTAATAGTTTAAAAACAAATACTACAACGCAGCCAAGGGGTTGAATTGCATAATATTTTACACTGATATGCTATCCCCGAGACGAGGTCAAGGGGATTATTCGACAATATTCACCGAACCTGAGGCGAATAATTGCTTTAGTATAATTTCAGAGCTGAACAACAGGGAAATTTCTAAAACCATAACATTTTAGTAACATTTATTTACATTTTATTTTAACATTTTATATAAACCGCGTGGAGGGGTTTATACAGCGTCATATAAGGAACCGCTCGACCAATTAGATTACTGGAAACTCTTTGCTCAGCCCTGAAAATATACTAAGTTATAATATATATATACAGGAGTATGATACATGCAGGAATATAATAAAAAATTACAATCGTATCCGAAACTATAAAAAGATAAAATATCACTAAGATCGAGTAATACTAGGCAGGCTTGATCAATCGAGTATTCACACAGTGTTGTTTGCTAATCGGCACATGCCTGGGATGAAGGACCACTGAAAACGCTTGGTGCGACGCCAGGGAGGTCGTACTTTCTAATTCTCCTTAGGTTATAATGGTTTACGTGATTGGTAGGAAATAAGCGAAGAAATGTATTAGTGTTTTTCCTTCTACTATTCTTACTTCTAGTTATTTATTTTCTTCAATTTACCCCACTTTACTTCTATTTTTAGTTACTATTTCTATTTTTAATTATTATCTCATTGTCAATCAAATGTTTTACTTAATTCTATGTCAATTCCCACTGCACCTGAAGAAGGCTGGTTTGGCCAGCCGAAATATAGTGCTCCGTTTTAAAACTTATCTACGTTGTAGCGGTCTTACCTCTATATTTATATTCGTTATTTTGGGCCGATTAGATCACTGATGATCCAAAGTACAAGAGTAGGATTTTCGTCCGCGGTTGCTTGCTGAACATTTCACTAAGATAACAACTTCATTATGGAAACGAAAACATTGAATTTACATTCTCATAGGATAAGTCGATAGCTCTCTTCCACTTTTGCAGACTCACATTTTGAAAATATCTCTGCTTGCACTTTCCTGTTAACCATGCAAAAGTTTCAAAGTGGGCGACGACATGTCCTCGTCCAAAGCTGCTCCGCACTTATTTAGCTTGTAGAAATCATTTAGCCTTTGAATTACTCTTGTGGCTGTTTCGGATTTTGCTGTTGAACAGTATCTTATTCTGCACGGAACAAAACAAAGTTATTCGTGTTCTAGTAAGAGGCTACGAATATTAAAGATTCGAGATTTCCAAAGTGTGAGTTCTTTGTTAACTTTTACTTTTTGTAATGAGTCAGTGAGGTTTGAAATAATTTTGTTAATTTTACAGCTAGTTCGTACAAAGGTTTATATTTAGGAAGTATGGATAATAGATATATTTTTTGGCCCATTTCTTTTACAGTTAATCACGAGGAGTGATTTTATTAGAACATACAGCTATGTTAGAGAAAGAGGATAATACTACGGCATCTGCCTGGGTACAAGTCTTGCGTTTCCTAAAAGTTAGTCGTGTTGTTTTTGTCTTGAGGAATGTAGCCCTAAGCGTTTCTCTAAACATCAGCATTCTAAAGCAATAAACAATCGGGTTAATAAAGGAGTTTGCAAGCTGAAGACAGCGAGTAACTCGCTGTGAAATGGTATTGCTGCTCTTAATGATAAATCTCAAGTTGAACACAATGGCGAAGGGCAACCAAGTTACCAATGAAAGAGAAGTTACGATAAAGAGAGTCTTTGAAAGATGTTTGTTGCGTACGTGGCTACTCTCTGAAAGTCTTGGATCTCTCTTTTTAGAAAAGAACCAAATAACAGAATATGCAACCACGATTACCATAAGACAAACACACATGTAGAGCGATCCAGTCCACAAATAAACTCCAGTTATAATAAGACGACTTTTGTATTGACTGCTCAACAAGGCAAGGACAGGTGCTGTTCCAGATAGAAGCCACACTCCTAAGACAGCGTATACGTATGTGTGTGTCGAAGTTGCTCTGCTGCGAAATGGCCAAACTATCGCATAGACCCTCTCCAAAGAAATGAGTACGAGGAAATTAATGGATGCAGCGCTAGAGTATTCTCCAAGAGGGAAATATCTATCTATCGAGGTAATTTTAGTCTTACAGCACCTTAACGAAAGCGAACAAATGTCAGTCGCGATGTCCCCAAGAACACCAAGACCAACCAGTAAATCAGCAACAGACAGGTTAATCAAGACAATAGAAGTTTTTCTCAAGTGAAATCTTCTTTTGAAGAATACGAATATGGTGATGGTATTTCCAAAGAGTATCACCAAGGCTTCTATACATAGTATAATTATCCATGGCAGTGTGTTTTCAAGCTCAGCACCTGTACACTTCTCGCTCATTTGAAGCTTCTTTTTCACTCTGAAAACCAAGTGGAATTAAGGCTATTTTGTGGCGGCGGTATTTTAACTGCAATTTCCAAGCAGGGCTTAATTCAACGTCGCTCCAACTGAATATCTCGATTATACCAGTTTTTCTATGCAAACGTAAAATAGGAGTCTTCGCAGTGTTAATTGATCTTATTTCCATGAAATCTTAATGTATGCAAACAAAAATCCGAGTCAACACTGGCATATGGTATTTCGTGGACTGGACTTGACTGGACTGGACTGGACTAGTGAAACGCTGACTAGTAAAACGCAGACTAGTAAAACGCGGGCTATAAAAACGCGGACTAGTAAAACGCGGACTAGTAAAACGCGGACTAGTAAAACGCGGACTAGTAAAACGCGGACTAGTAAAACGCGGACTAGTAAAACGCGGACAAGTAAAACGACAACAACAATCTAAAACAAATCAAAATTAAATCTCTTTGTATTTAGGTTGAAAAAGTCTCATTGACTTCAGCTTTTCGGTGGAAGAAAAACCGATTTACACACGCCATTACAGAAAACAAACAAGCAGACTGACAACTCCAAAACACATATTTGCATTCACTTACAATTTGACTTTCCGTGAAATTTTAAAACGGAACAGAGGTAAATCTTCGAAGATTAATCGTCGTTGGAAATAAAAAATACTTTCCGTAAGATCTCT